CACACTGTAAAGATTGAAATATCCCTCCCCTGACATCCCTCTGTGCCTGTAGCTAATTCAGGGCACAAGTCAGAAGTGCAAAGGAATACTCTCCAATTATCTGAAAAAGATGCAGCTCCAACAACACTCAAAACTTCACACCTTCCAGATCAAATCAATCAATTTTATTAGCAACCCATTTACCTCATAAACACCTGTGTCAAACCATCATTATCCAACTACCATTGGTCCCACCTGCGCCCAAACTACATTGGTCCATGTGCCCAAATCATCATTCGTCTAATTGTACCCAAATCACCATTGGTCAAACTACCATTGGTCCACCTATGCACAAAACCTTTATTGGTCCATCTGTGACCCAAAACCATCATTGATCTACCTGTCTCAAAAGCATCATTGGTCCACTTGTACCCCCAAACCACCATTGTCCATCTGTGCCCCCAAACCCACCATTGGACTACCTGTCCCAAAAGCACCATTGGTCCAACTGGCATCAGTCCACAAGTGCTCAACCACCATTGGTCAACCTGCACCCAAACCCCACCACTGGTTTACCTGTCCCAAAAGCACTATTGGTCCTTCTGTCCTCAACCACCATTGGTCCACCTGTACTCCCAATTCACCACTGGTCCACCTGTATCCCCAAACTACCACTGGCTCACATGTCCCAAAAGCACTATTTGTTTGACCAATGGTGGTTCACCTGTGCTCAACCACCATTGGTCTACCTGTCTCAAAAGCCCCATTAGTCTAACTTCCATTGGTCCTTTTGTGCTCAACCACCAGTGGTCCACCTGTATCCCCAATTCACCATTGGTCTCTCTGTACCCCTAATCCACTATTGGTCCACCTTTGTCCCCAAACCACCAGTGGTCTATTTGTACCCCCAGACTGCTATTGGTTCATCTGCATCCCCAAACCACCATTGGTCCATTTGTACCCAAAACAGCATTGGTCCACCTATCGTTGGTCCACCCAAAAGCACTATTGGCCCAACCACCATTTATCCACTTGTCCCCCATTTCCCCCTGTACCTGACCCACAATCGGTTCACCAGTTCCCCAGACCATTACCGGTCCGCTTGTATCCGAGCCTCTCAGCGTACCAATTGCCGCCGGCCGCAAGACTCGCCGTTTATTTTTGGCCTCTTGAGCTTTTTGGGGCCTAGCGCCATTTTCAGTACTCACGTCCCCCCCACCGGTTCGGTTGCCATGGCAGCGGCCCCGCCCCCCGGCTCAGTGACGTGTTTTGAATTTCCCGCGCAGCTGCCCAACCGCCCCCGACCGCTCGCACGTGATCTGACCGTGCAGCCAACCGGAGTCTCCCGGAGCAACGGCTGGTTGGCCGCCAGTGCGCCTGCGTGGTAGCCCTGATGCGGGTCAGAAACTGCTGGAGAAACTCAGCAGCGTCTGTGGCGAGAGGAAAAAAAACCCCAGAATTAACGTTTCAGGTCCAGTGGCTTTTCTTCAAAACTCATTGTAGCTAGGAAAGGGTTGGTCTATATGTTAGAGAAGGAGATTGGAGCCCAGGGACTGGGTCATGATCAGCCTGGGAGAATCAATAGCTGCTAATGGGGACAATTAATGGCTGTCAATGGGATGGTTTGTGGTAGCAGGCTGTGTGATGACAAGAGATAGTAGGAACTGCAGATGCCGGAGAATCCGAGACAACAAGGTGCAGGACTGCTCCTATGATGCTGCTTGGCCTGCTGTGTTCATCCAGCTCTGCACCTTGTGTGATGACAAGGCCTGGTGTGGTTTGGGGTAGGGGGAAGGTGCAAGGTGCTCAGGTCTTAAGGGCAGAATCTTTAAGAGTACTAATAGGCGGAGGGATCTGGGTGTACAGGTATACAGGTCACTGAAAGTGGCAACGCGGATGGAAAAGGTAGTTGACAAGGCATGCGGCATGCTTGCCTTCTTTAGCCGGGGCATTGAGTTTAAAAACTGGCAGGTAATGGTGCAGCTGTATAGAACCTTAGTTAGGCTGCATTTGGAATATTGTGTTCAATTTTGGTTGCCACACTAACAGAAGGATGTGGTGGCTTTGGAGAGGGTACAGAAGATTTACCAGCATGTTGCCTGGCATGGTGGGCATTAGCTATGAGAAGAGGTTGGAGAAACTTGGGTCTTTCTCACTGGAACGACGGAGGTTGAGGGGAAACCTGATAGAGGTCTACAAGATTGTGAAGGGCATGGACAGACTGGACAGTCAGAAGCCATTTCCCAGGGTGGAAGAGTCAGTTACCAGGGGCCATGGGTTTAAGGTGCGAGAGGCAAGGTTTAAAGGTGATGTACAAGGCAAGTTTTTTTACACAGAAGGTGGTGGGTGCCTGGAACTCGCTGCCGGGGGAGATAGTGAAAACAGATACTATAGTGACTTAAAGGGCGTCTTGACAAATATATGAATAGGAAAGAGGGATACAGTTCTCGGAAGGGTAGGGGGTTTTAGTTGTGACGGGCAGCATGTCAGTGCAGACTTGGAGGGCCAAAGGGCCTGTTCCTGTACTGTAATTTTCTTTGTTCTAAAATTATTGAACTTGATTTGAGTGTAGGAGTAGGGATGTCTTGCTGCAGTTATACAGGATCTAGGTGAGGCCACACCTTGAGTATTATGTGCCGTTTTGGTCTGATGAAGGATGTTTTTGCTATTGAGGAAGTCCAGCGAAGGTTCACCAGACTGATTCTCAGGATGGAGGCACTGACGTGTGAAGAAAGACTGGATTGACGGGGCTTGCAATCGCTGGAATTTAGAAGAATGAAGGTTGGGGGAGGGGGTGTTCCCATAGAAACATAAAATCGTGATGGAACTGGACAGGCTAGATGCGGGAAGAATGTTCCTGATGTTGAGGAAGTCCAGAACTAGGGGGTCACAGCCTAAGAATAAGGGCAGAAGTCGCACAACACCAGGTTATAGTCCAACAGGTTTATTTGAAGTCACAAGCTTTCAGAGTCCACCCCCTTCGTCAGATGAAGACGACCGGAAGTTGAGGGTCATTTGTTGTAGACAGACTCGAGCCATGTGCCCATGGATCCAATGTTTAACAGTTAGCACTTTATTTTGGGTGATCCAAGCCTTTCTTTCTCTATGTAAACCTTGCCATAAACTCTTTTTTTTTTCTTTTTTTTGGTTAAAATTCTATTTTGTCTTTTGTGCCGCAGATGTAGTCACTAGTAAATCCAATGGGGAACGTGGGAGAAACATTTTTACCCAGAGAGTGGTGAAACTATGCAACTCTGTCCCACAGGGAGTAAATTTTGCAAGTCTGGTAGCATTTGTGGGGAGAGAAACAGAGTTAATGTTTTGAGTCCTGTGACTTTTCTTTGGAATATGTTATGTATTTTATGGGTTATTGGACTTTTTTGTGTGTGACCATAAAATAATAGGGTAATTAGTTTGTAATTTGGCCTGTCAAGCCTGCTCTGCCATACATTAAAGTTTTGATTTGACTTTATTTCTTGTCCCCTTTTCCCTCCCATCCCTAAATAACCTGAATTCCAATTGTGGAGTCATAGATCACAGAAACAGACCCTTCAGTCCAACCAGTCTGTGCTGACCATAATCCCAAACTAAACCAGTCCCACCTGCCTGCCCTTGGTCCATATCCCTCCAAATCCTTTTTAATGTACTAATCGAAATGTCTTTTGAATGATGTAACTGTACCTGCATCCACCACTTCCTCTGGAAGTTCATTCCACACATGAGCCACACTATATGTTTTTTAAAAAAGCTGCCTCTTGCATCCTTTTAAATCTTTCCCCTGTTGCCTTAAACATATGCCCCAGGTCTTGAAATCTCCCACAATAGGGAAAAGACACCTGCAGTTCACCTTAACTATACCCCTCAAGATGTGTAGAAAACATTATGATCATGTGCCTTCATTATTTCCTCAAAACATACCTCTGAACCTGCAAAGAGGCATTAATTAAGGCTTTGAGGTTTCACATTCCACAATAGAAACAGCACATCAAACAAATAAGCCCTTAAAAGGAAATAAAAACAGAACTTGTTGGAAAAGCTCAGCAGGTCTGGCAGCACGGATGGAGAAAAATCAAAGTTAATGTTTCAGCTCCTTTGACCCTTCCGCAGAACATTAAAAGGCCTGGGATGGATGTGAGGGGACTTGTACTTTCTGAATTGAATCTGGGGATGCAGAGAATTCTCATCCATGACCACTGAGGGTGCTGTGATTTGGCTGCTCAGGCATCCGTATAACCAGACTCCAACCGAGTTCAGTTAATCCGGTTAATTCATGACGCATTTTCGCTCTAGGCTCTTCAACCTAAATTGGCAAGAAAACTGCATACAATGCAACATAAAACATAAAACACTGGTTTGGTATCAATTGCAGCATTGCATCCAGTTCTGAGTTCACACTTTGGGAAACATGGAGGCATTAGAGGAAGTGCAGGAAAGGTTTACTGAGAACAGTTCCTGGGATGAGAACTTCAGACATATGGCTAGACTGGAGAATGCAGGATTCTTACAGTGCAGAAAAAGGCCCACTGAGTCTGCACTGATCTTCTGAAGACCATCCTACCAGATCCCATCCCCATAACGGCACGTAGGGTTATTATCCACCGAGCCTACACATCCTTGGACATTAAGGGGCAATTTAGAACGGTCAGTCCACCTAACCTGCACAGCTTTGGACTGTGGGGGGGAACCTGAGCACTTGGAGGAAACCAGTGCTGTTGCTCGAGGGTGGAATTGAACCCGGATCCCCTAGCACTGTGAGGCAGCAGTGCTCACCACTGAGTCACCATGTAATTGGAGCTGTTTTTTTTCTTGGAGAAAAGTGGGTCTGGAGGAGATTGGATAAAGAGTTCTTGGCAGACTCGATAGAGAAAGACTGTACCTATTGATGGAAGAATTGAGAATGAGAGGTCGAAAATTTAAGATAATTAACCAAAGAAGTAATGGAGACATGATAAATATTTTTCATGAAGTAAGTTTAGGATCTGGAATAAATAGCCTCAAGGTGTGGTAGTGGAAAGTTCATTTGGGACATTCAAAAGAAAATTGTCATCTGAGAAGGAAGAATATGCAGGCATACTCTGCCTATTCTGTAACAATTTTATTGTCCAGAGGCTTGGTGTGTGAGGGGTTGATGGGGTGGGTGTGAGAACTGAAGCATTTGTGTTTCAATTATGGAGCAGAATCTATGTGCATTAATGAATCCACCCTTCATGTTTGTTGAAAACAAAAGATTGCCATCCCTTCCATCCACCTTGCTCATTTTATTGATTAACGACAGTGTAGTTTTTAGGTCACGGGTTCCTTTTTGTTGTTAATAATTTTTGCCGGGGGCGGGGGGGCAGAGTTTGCCAACTGAAAACTCATCTGATGACATTTTGTCCCAGGACACATTAACATAAGAACTAGGAGCAGGAGTAGGCCGTCTGGCCCTTCGAGCCTGCTCCGCCATTCAATAAGATCATGGCTGATCCTTTCGTGGACTCAGATCCACTTACCCGCGTTCTCACTGTATCCCTTAATTCCTTTATTGTTCAAAAAAAATCTGCCTTTCTTTTTAAAAACATTTACTGAAGTAGCGTCAACTACTTCACTGGGCAAGGAATTCCATAGATTAACAACCCTCTGGATGAAGAAATTCCTTCTCAGTTCAGTCCTAAATCTGCTCACTCTAATCTTGAGGCTATGCCCTCTTGTCCTAGCTTCACCTGCCAGTGGAAACATCCTCTCTACTTCTATCTTATCTATTCCCTTCATAATTTTATATGTTTCTATAAGATCCCCCCTCAATGTTCTGAATTCCAATGAATATAATCCCAATCTACTCAGTCTCTCCTCATTAGCCAACCCCCTCAACTCTGGAATCAACCTAGTGAACCTCCTTTGCACCCCCTCCAGTGCCAGTACATCGTTTCTCAAGTAAGGAGACCAAAACTGCACACAGTACTCCAGGTGTGGCCTCACCAGCACCTTGTACAGCTGCAACACAACCTCTCTGCTTTTAATTTCAATCCCTTTAACAATGAAGGACAAAATTCCATTTGCCTTCCTAATTACTTGTTGTACCTGCAGACCTGCCTTCTGTGATTCATGCACAAGGACACCCAGGTCCCTCTGCATAGCAGCATGCTGCAACTTTTTACCATTCAAGTAATAATCCTTTTTACTATTACTCCTACCAAAATGTATGACTTCACATTTATTTACGTTGTATTCCATCTGCCAGACCTTTGCCCACTCACTCAATTTATCTATGTTTCTCTGCAAAGTTTCACAGTCCTCTGCACACTTTGCTTTGCCACTCATCTTAGTGTCATCTGCAAACTTTGACACCCTACACGTGGTCCCCAACTCCAAATCATCTATATAAATTGTAAATAATTGCGGTCCCAACACCGATCCCTGAGGCACACCACTAGTCACTGACTGCCAGCTAGAATAGCACTCATTTATCCCTACTCTTTGCTTCCTGTTAGTCAACCAATCCTCTATCCATGCTAATACTTTACCCTTAATGCCATGCATCCTTATCTTATGCAGTAGCCTCTTGTGCGGCACCTTGTCAAAGGCCTTTTGGAAGTCTAGGTACATCACATCCACTGGGTCCCCATTGTCCACCTCGCTCGTAATGTCTTCATAGAATTCCAAAAGATTTGTCAAGCATGACCTGCCCTTCATGAACCCATGCTGCGTCTGCCCAACGGGACAATTTCTATCAAGATGCCTTGCTATTTCTTCCTTGATAATAGACTCAAGCATCTTCCCCGCTACAGAGGTTAAGCTAACCGGTCTATAATTCCCCATCTTTTGTCTACTTCCCTTTTTAAACAGTGGCGTCACATTTGCTGTTTTCCAATCTGCTGGGACTGCCCCAGAGTCCAGCGAATTTTGGAAAATTACCGCCAGTGCACCTGCTATTTCTCCCGCCATCTCTTTTAGTACCCTGGGATGCATTCCATCAGGGCCGGGAGACTTATCAATCCTTAGCTCCATTAGCTTGCCCAACACTACCTCTTCCGTAATTATGATTGTTTCCAGGTCCTCACCTACCTTCATCTCTTTGTCAATTACTGGCATGTTATTAGTGTCCTCCACTGTGAAGACCGACACAAAATACCTGTTCGATGCCTCGGCCATTTCATCATATCCCATAACTAAATTCCCCTTCTCATGCTCTAAAGGGCCAACGTTTACTTTAGCCACTCTTTTTCATTTTATATATTTATAGAAACTTTTCCTATCTGTCTTTATATTCTGTGCTAGTTTTTTCTCATGTTCTATCTTACTTTTCCTTATAGCTCTTTTTGTGGCTTTCTGTTGACCTTTAAAGTTTTCCCAATCTTCTGGTTTCATGCTGTTTTTGGCCACTTTGTATGCCTTCTCTTTCAATTTGATAGCCTCCCTTATTTCTTTAGACACCCATGGCAGATTACCCCTTTTCTTACAGTCCTTCCTTCTCATTGGAATATACTTTTGCTGCGCACTTTGAAAGATTGCTTTGAAAGTCCTCCACTGCTCATCAACTGTCCCTATGAAAGGCAGATGGGGGTGGGGAGGGAAATATCTCTTTGGTTGTGGGGTCAGATTGCAGGTGGCGGAAATGGCAGAGAATGATATGTTGGATACGGAGGTTGGTGGGATGATATGTGAGGATGGGGGGATTCTATCTTTATTTTTGGTGGGGGGAGGGGATGTGAGGACAGAAGTGCAAGATATGCGGTATTTTTGATCACCGGAGAAGGAAAGTTGTGGTCCTTGAAATAGGTGGACACCTGGGATGTGCGGGAGTGGAACGCCTGATCTTGGGCAGCAGATGCGGTGGAGGCGGAGGAATTGGGAGTAGGGGATCGCATTCTTGCCAGAAGGTGGGTGAGAGGAGGTGTAGGCTAGGTAGCTGTGGGAGTCGGTGGGCTTGAAATAGATGTCGGTTTTGAGGCGGTCACCAGAGATGGAGACAGAGAAGTCCAGGAAGGAGAGGGAGGTATCGGAGATAGTCCAGGTGAATTTGAGGTTGGGGTGAAAGGGGTAAAGTTGATGAAATGTTCAAGCTCCTCATGGGAGCACAAGGCAGCGCTGATACAGTCAGTCATTAATATAGCAGAAGAAGAGGTGGGGGATAGTGCCGGTGTAGCTGCGGAAGAGGGACTGTTCCACATATCCTATGAAGAGGCAGGCATAGTTCAGGCCCGTCCGGGTGCCCATCGCCACCCCCTTAGTCTGTAGGATGTCAAAAGTAACCTATTTTGTTTGGTTGAAAGTGCCTGGAGGGGGGGAGAGTGGGAATAATTCTGGCGCCAAAGGCGCTATGGAAATACAGGTTCCTGAAGTTGTTGTTTCACCCCGCCCTTCCCCTCACCACCAACAAACTATATCACATCATCAGTGTGATAGGAATAACCCCCTAGGAACCAGGCGGAGGATTTTGATTTTTCTTTAGGAAAACCCCCCAACCCCCTTCCCAACTATAACATAAATGCTGACCCCCTCCACACTTCATTTAGCTCTGATGAAGAGTCATCTAGACTCGAAATGTTAGCTTGCTGTCTTTCCATGGATGCTGTTTGAGCAGCTGTGATCTCCAGTATTTGTTATTTTCAGCACAGATTCCAGCATCTGCAGTAATTTGTTCCTACATTTTGGGGGAGGGAAGTGGGAATAGTTTCTGGCGCCTAAGGCGCTATGTAAATGGAGGTTCTTGAAATTGTTTTAATAGGGTTGTGCTGCCCTCCCTCACCACACGCAAACGGTATCAGAGTGTGAAAGGAGTGACCCACGGGGAACCAGTCGGAAGTTTTTGGTTTTTTTTTAAAACAGAGAAAAGAGGTTCTTGGATAACAACTGGATGAACACAGAATTTTTCAGAAGAAGGGTCTAGGCCCGAAACGTCAGCCTTCCTGCTCCTGTGATGCTGTGTTCATCCAGCTCTGCACCTTGTTATCTCAGATTCTCCAGCATCTGCACTTCCTGCTATCTCCAAAGAGGTTCTTGGGTTGCGGGGAGGGGGTGGCGTGGGCAAGTCCTCTCTCGCGAGAGCAGCTTCCTTGACCTCACCAACATGGCGGCGGCGTCAGCGGTGACGGTGTGAAGCTGCAGCTGAGGGAGAAGGCGGCGTCGAAGGCCTTGGCTTTGGCTCTCGCTCCCTCCGGGGACTTACTGACTGACCGATCCACCCGCCCCTTACCTGAACAGGCAGGTCACTCAGTCCCTCCCCGGGATGATTGGCGGAGAGAGGGTGTTCCGCGCAGCTTAGGGCCTGGAAACCATGTTTCCGAGCCCCTGTCTAAGGTTTCAAGGAGACCACTCCTCCCCAAAATAAATCTGGAGTTTCTGGGCACACCCTCCAAATCTGCGGTTTCAAGGATCCCTGCAATCTTGAGCTTCAAGCCAACTCCTCCTCCCCAATTATCTGGGGTTTCAAGGACCACCCCCCCATCTTGGGCTTGCGGTTGCGCCCCCCCCCCCATTATCCAGGGTTTTAAGGTTCCCACCACCATACTTTAGGGTCTCAAGACATCCCCAAAATTTGGCATTTCAAAAACCCCTCCCAAACCTCCCCCCAGCTGTCAGCCAGTCTGGAATTTGGTGCATTTTTATGAACAGCAGCTAGCCATTCATCAGGAGAATGGCTAGTCGGCATCAGAGCTTCAACCAACCACCTTGCTTGCGTGTTGTTTTATAACCCTTATCTGACAAAAAAAAATCAATTTCACAGTTTAAGATGTCAAATTGTGCCCAGCATCTCCTGAACTTTGGGAAAGAAAATTTGATGTTTCTACTCCGCCCACATATGAAGATCCATTTTCCTAACTTCTGAACTGATTTTGGCTTTTTTTGGATTGTGCTGATTTTGAAAACTAAAACTTTGGCTCTAATTTTGAAGTTAAGTCCAATTGTCTTCAACTCTCAAACAAGCAGAAAACTTTGCACCTTTCTGCTCTAATTCCTTTCAAAATCCTAAAAGTGCAATCAATTCACCCCTCAACCATGTATATTGCAGGAATTACAGTCAGTTTATGTCATTGCTTTGCACAGTATAATGCCTAGAGCCCTGATAGTGTTCTGGTGAATCTGTATGGTTTGTCCATTCTAACTGCTCTCTACATTCCAGATCACATCTAACCAGGGTTTTCATAGAAACCTTACAGTGTGGAAACCGGTTCACCAAGTTCCTCCAAAGAGCATCCCACCCAAAACCACCTCCCTACCCTACCACCCTGCATTTACCATGGCCAGTCCACCTAACCTGTACGGCTCTCATAAAGGCTAACATTTCATTAGCCTTTCTGATTGCTTGGCTGGGTGCAGAAAAAAATATTTTCATGATCTGCGTCTAAGTTCTATTTAAAAAAACATAAGTTAAATCATCATCCTGAAGGCACCGGGGCTAACAGGAGAGCTATTTTAATGTGCTCCTCCATTACAAGTCCCTTGCCCTCATACTCAGTGACTGACCCAATTCATTGTTGTCCTACAGGCATTCATCTTGCTGTTGGAACGAACCTCAGGCTAATTCGCCCCCATTGTGACGTTGTGGGTCCTGCTAGAAGGCCTCTCTATACAAAGGGTGGGTGACACTGTCTTCATCTTTTGCAACACTTAGATGGTTCATATTGGGTGTTTATGTCCCAAAGTAGCCTCCTCCCACCTTTCCTGAGTTCTCCCTCTGGTTCCTTTGCCTGTTTCCTTGAGTTTCTGAGCTCTGATCACCAATCTTCCTGCTTCTGGCTTAATTTTTTTCCTATTCCTTTCCAATGAAAACCTTTGTCATCATATTGCATTAAATCTCCTCTCCTTTATTCAAAGGAGAACATCCCAGCTTCTCCGTATGACAGAACTCTGTTATCCTTCCTTCAATTCTGTTAAATCTGCTGGCTATTTCTCCTAATAATGGATCAAGATGCAAATGGATTCTTGCTCCACCATTCAGTATGATCCTGTCTGATGATCTAGCCCCAAAATCCACTTTTTGACCCACTCCCCATATCCCTAGACTTCCTGAGAGACTAAAAATCCACGTATTTCAGCATTCATAATGCTGAGAGAGGTCTAAAGACCCCCTCTAAGTGAAGAAATTTCTCCTCATCTCAGTTTTAGACGTTTGGAACACTCTTCCCCAAATGTTCGATCACTAGTTAATTTTAAATCTGATATATATAAGTTTTTTGTTAAGCAAAAGGTAATAAGGGATATGGGTCAAGGGCAAGGATATGGGCCAGAATCAGCCATAATCTCATCGAATGGCAGAACAGGCTTTCGGGGCTGAATGACTTACTTCTGTTCCAATAAATGATCAACCCGTTATTCTGAGACTGTGTCCCCTTGCTGCCACCTCTCCACCCTGCGGTTTAGCTTCCCCGACCAGCTGAAACGACCTCTGTGTCTACACTGTCAAACCCCTTCAGAACCCTAGATGCTTCAATGAAATCACCTCTTATTCTTCTAAGCTCCAGAGAACATAGTCAGTGACACGATTTAAAGATTAAGGGCTTCTAATTGGGAATGCAGGTAGATGATGTGAAGAAGCACCATTCTGGGACAAGGCAGAAATTATGAAGGATCCCTGCCCCTGCCAGGAAACTTGCATCCCCCTCAGGATCAAGCTGAAGATGATGCATGCCTCAGTCAATCAGGCATTACTCTGACTTCACGTTTATTCAGTTGGGTTGAAGCAGTTTTGACCATTATCTGGTAAGCTGTGCAAATGTGTTCTCTAATTCCGAACTTTCTGTTGTTTTAGGCTGCGTTTGCGACGTTCGGATCCCATTCCCACGGCACCTTTGGCTGTTGTGATGAATACAGCGCTCCGTCACGAGGCCTCGACAGTGTGCCAGCGTCCAGCTGCCAGACGCCGAACGAAAAACTTTAAAAAGCACTACCCTTGTAGCACTGAAGGTATCTGACTGTTGTGGAAGCCATGGCGACGGACTGTGTGGCGGAGCCTGGTGTGGAAGCAGCCCAAGAGGGTGAAAGTGCACTCGATCCCCTGGCCAGTCAACCGGGGCCAGCGGAGCAGGCCAGTGACTCCAAGAGGCAAGGTGAGGGAGACAGCGAGCCCCTGGCAAAGGTTGCCCGGCTCGGAATCGGTGACTTACCGTCGCCTCCAACTGCCAAGTCAGCGGAGAGTCTGGAAGGGAGCAGCATCCTGCCAACTTCTGACCCCCTGATAGCCTCTGACCTCCCCGTGGCCTCTAATCTGGGCAGCCCTTCGGGCGACACAGGCTCACAGTTGGCCAAAGTGGAAGAGAAGACTGGTGGAGGCCAGGAATCGGAATGTCTTCCTGATCACCTGGAGCCAGATGCAAATGGAAAAAGTGAAACGGAGACCGAGCAAGCAAGTGAGAGCTGGGCAGAGCAGTGCATCGAAGATGTTTATTAGTACGTAACTCTCCATTTCTATTGCACAATTCCAAGTGTGTTGGGAGACCTCTCAGTAATAGCCTATTTCATGGTTGAAATGGTTTGTCCAGGAAATACAAGAACGCAATTTTTAAAAAAAAGACCAGGAGTAGGCCATGCAACCCTGGCTATGCATTCAGTACAATTGTTGCCAATGATCTACCTTCCATTTTCCTGCCTGATTCCCTGAGACAGTGAAAATCCATCAATCGCAGCCTTAAATATATTCAATGATGGAACATCCACAACCTTCTTGAGGAGAGAATTCCAAAGGTCCACCATACTCTGAAGATGTTTCTCCTCATCTCCGTCCTAAATGATCATCCCCTTACCCACACTCTGTGTCTCTCATCTTTTAGATTCCTCGACCAGCAGAAATGATCTCTTAGCATATACCCAGTCAAATCCCTTTAAAATCTTGTAGTTCTCAATGAAATCACGTCTTGTTTTTCCACACTGCAGAGAATGTTGGCTGCTCATCATAAAACAGCCCCTGCATCCGAGGGACCAATTGTTGTTTTGACCTCAGTGCAAGAGACTGGATATTGCCTGGGGTTATAAATTTCGATTCTTTTGCCATCTTCTTGAAGGACTTCACTTTTGTTCCAAGAATGTGTGTGTTGCTGGCAAAGCTAACATTGGTTGCCCATCTGTAAGTGCCCTTAAGGTGGTGGTGAACTACAGCCTTGAACTATATTTCTTTGGCCCCTCTCATGCCCTTGTTTTACAGGTAATCTGAAGTGTAGACCCTGTTGCAATGTAAGAAATAGTGTAACCATAAGCTATAACTTGTGTACAAGTTCACACAAACAGCAATTTGATAACAGCCAGGTAATCTGCTTTATTAGAGATAGTAGGAACTGCAGATGCTGGAGAATCTGAGATAACAAGGTGCAGAGCTGT